GATTAGTCATTTTAATATCAAACGCAGAGTTAAATGAGATGAATCCCATGCCTTCAGATTATGCGGAATCACACTTCAGTAAACTGTGAAAATAAGTACAGAAATCAAGCAAGCTGACTCACCAGGACATACATGCATAGAAAAATGACTTACACCGAATTCTTTCACACCTCTCTGAGGTGTTTTGGCGTAATTCCATAACTTGATCATTGACACAGTAGTAGGCACATCAAAAATTACATATACCCTATTTACCTGTAAAAGAGAATTAATTAATATTTAACAGCAAAAACTCCCCAAAGAAATGAAATTCTCATGCATGCTACACCAAAAAAGGCCCACATTTAAAGATATAACTAGAGGACCGACAACTGATGCTCAGGATTTCAGTTCAGCTATCATCTCTGTTGATAGTTCACAGATGTTGTCTCTACCCCAGAGCTGCCCTCTCAAATGTACACCTAACTCACCAGAAGATGACATCTACACCTGAGCTTGTCATCCTGGACTGCAAGGCAATTCAGGGAGAGGTGGAGAGGCACTTTTAATGAGTACTTCATCAAACAAACACAGACACATGCTTCAGGAGAAGACAAACTGGTGTCCTGTTCTATTCCGTTCCATTCCTTTATAACAAATATGAACGGAATCCACCTTTTGATTTGCAAGACTAAAATTTCTCCTATACTCCCTGACTTTGAAAGCTCTTGCAGAAATTTCACCATTTTTGTGTGAGGTACACTAACAGCAATATAGAGATGATTCTCCAGATGCTTGCTAAACAATTCCTGCTTGAGGTATTGTTCATTTTACTTTCATGACATTAACGTCAAGATGTTAAGACCAAAGACCAGGCTGTAGGAAACCAATCTTGCCTGTTACACTTAATTCTATGCTGTTTCTTTTATGAGCTACTCTGTCAGCTTTGGGCCAACATATCTTAAGCTTCATCTCTAGCATCCTCTGAAGCTTTAATCCTTTGATGCATTGGAGAAGATACTGATAGTTGTATTAAACCAGCATGCATTTTTTTTTAACTGAAGAAAAAAAGGTAGATGTGATCAGAAGAAATGTTTCTATCCATGATTTTCCAGAAGACCATTTGGGCTTAGTCTCCAATAGCAGTTGTTAGTCTCACAGCAAATGATAAATTTGATGGAAAATACATTCAAACAAATAAATAAAATGATAATAAACAAAGAATTCAAATTGTATTTATATTAGTAATAAATTTGATTTTTGCTTTTGACAAAACCACTTCTAGAATTAGAAAGGAAAAGATAATTAGGAAGGAAAGAAAGGCTATAATACAAAATTTCCTTAAAGCTATCAAACCTTCCAATATAGCAAAGAGTTATTTCAGCTTTCTAGACAGCTGGCACATTTCAAAGCAGCCTAGCAATGAGGATGTAAGTATACACAGGCTTTGGTTCAGCATCCCAGCTACACCGGACAATCACGGATAAGCTGACTGCTTCATCCATTTTCACTTCCTGGATGTGCAACCATACCATGGAAGATGGAAGAGAGAAAAGTTCCATGTCAAACTTGAAAAGGTATCATTTGCTACAGTTTAAGGACAGAAAGCACCATTAAGCTGCTTTTCCCTCCTGCATATCACACCTTATCAATTTACCCTTTTGATATGATATCGTCTGTTCTTCCACAGTACTTTAGTGTCAGACATGAAAGAAAACAGTGTACGCATCTGTGCCAGAACTCCAGTGCTGTTATTTTCCTTTTTACCCAAACGAAAGAGCATCTGCAAGCATGTCTTTTATAAGGACATGAGCAAACTCAGATGATTGTCTGAGCATTCCATCAAACCAATTACCAAGATTCAAGATGTGGGATCTACACAGCAGGAGACTCAAGCGTTACGCAGACCTACCATTTTCCTAAGAAACGCAAGTGGTCAGTATTCCCAAGTACACTTAAAAGCTTTACCTTACCCACTGCACTATAACTTATAATGATACATGAAGTATTTTCAAAATTGACTTAATTCTTTTCTTTTAATGTTCTAATTAATAACTGTAACAAATGGAGCAAGGACTTTTCCGACACAATAAGCTACAACATACCACATGCCAGGTTTCCATTTTGTTACTTTTGAAATCCATCCTCTTCTAAGAAATAAATACATCTTAATGATGTCCATAACAGGTCTTTAAAAAATGTCCTCTCCCAAAACAAAGTCAGTTTATTTACTTCTCCTGTTCAGATATTTGTTATCCCATATTTTACACATGGGGCTTCTAAAAGGGCTGAATCACTTGGGGCCTTAGGACATGCAATCCTAAGTCTGTCATCTCTAATTTATTAATTTTAATTCAACACAGATAATGAGATTAAAAAAATTCTCACTGCTGGAACAACATGCATTGCTTTTTATAAAAATGGATTTAAGATCCCAGTCCCATTTGAAAGGTGTTTATTGCACAAAACACGCATATTAAACTCCTTTGTCAGTATCTTTATCATAGTAACTGAAAAAATAGCTACACTAGCCTTGGAAATTCTTCTGCTGTCGTACCTTGGAGACAGAAGGAGATTACAAACCTGGGAAATCTATTCTGCTGCTATCTGTGCAGTGAAGAATACCAAAATAAAAAGAACTTCTTCTAAAAGGCAGTGATTTAGCATCATTTACTAATATCAAATTTACCTAAACATAACATATGCTTCCCCTTTCCTTTATGCTTCTAGCTACGTCTGTGCACACCACTAAAATGGTATGAAAAGGAAAAATGTACCAAACCAGGAAGAACCGGTGCAAGCCACATATGTCTGCCATCAGTCGTGTCATTTACTCTGTCAATTAGTTTGTCTGGAGTTCGGATGTCTCCAGATACATCTTCTAAAACGTTGACGCTATCTGGAAAAGCAGCAATATCTGAAAAAAACTTTAAGCGTAAACAACCAAAAAGGACATTTCAGAAACACCATATTTAAAAGTTCATACTTGCTCTTCTAGATTCCATGAGCTAGTATTTACCACTAAAGCAGTAAAGCTTATACTCTGAGTACTTCACATAGGTAGCCGAGGAACTTGAGGATGGATTTTTAAAAGCAGGACAACCCTTAAGATCCTGGCATTCAAAATTATTTTAAAAACAGGAATAAATTAACCAGATTAATTTAATTTGTTTTCAAATATGCATTTATTACTTCATTGATAAAGTTCCCTTATCAGGAAGAGGCACTTCCCAGGTTTTTTGCAACAAAGTCCCATTTTTTTAGCATGAACTTGTGAAAATTCCTCATACAAAACATTTCTCAAGAGAAGTAGCCTTGCAGGTGGTAGTCATCAGTTGGGCTAGGTTTTGCTTGAGTTCCTCGCAGCTTGTGATAAAAATCAGTAACTGTCTAACTGCTATTGAACAGACCTTCTAGGTAACCAGATTTTCTCCATAAAACAACATTTATGTTAAAAACATATGTATGTTAAAGACATGCAAAGAAATGTGGATGGATGCCACTTTCTTCAGAATTATAAATTCCTAGCGATCCACTTTGATGGACATTAACTTCTCCTGCTTTCTAAAAGGCCTGAGTCTGGAAGTATTTATAAAGAATTTAAGGAATAAGACAGCAATGCCTCAACTGTATAAGAAAAGCTTGCTACAGACTCAGTACTGAATTATCTCATTTAGTACTGCACTAAGACAAATATGCTCTTTTTGGGATCCTAATATATCCAGGCAACACTGCTGTACAAGCAGAAACAGGCGATCATTCAAAATGCGCTGAGGTATCTTTTCCTGGCATTGTATTGTACTGTAAAGGCATACCTTTTAAAAGCTAAGTTAAAGATCCCTTGTTCTTAAAACCAATTTGTTACCACTTTCCAGTTTCAAAATTCTGCTTCTCCATTACAGATGTTTCAAGTTTGTCATGTATCATAGAAGATACAAACAAAAATAGCACGCAGGAAAAAGCCTTTATTACCTTTTCCATTGTATCGTCTATTTATTAGGCAATGAGGATTCTTAGAGACACGCAATTCATGCAGCATTCGTGCTTTTTAGCCTTTCTAGTTGGCTAAGAAAGTGTTTCTTCCTTGTGACTGAACTACATGAATTATATGTTGGGGTATGAAGCTTTCAGCTCTTAAGAGACTTTAGCAGATACAAAGCACTGACGTGTAACCTTGATAACTATGAATCTTTCAAACATGCCCTTCATTCCTTCCGTTGGTTACCCAGGGAACACTGAATCAAATTCAAAGTCTCAGCCCTTATCTTCATGACTGGATCGGGTGTCTAGAATACCCTCAAGCTCCAGAACAAGAGTTATGAAAAATTTCTTGCTGGTGGCACAATGAAAGACTCCGTAACAAATAACTGAGCTCAACCTTTTCTTATGAATTTATAGCTCATCAAAAGTTCTGGTCCTTCCATACCACAGAAGAAATAAATGTTGATAAAAAAAAAAATATCATATCCTTCTGAAGCCTTCCCTTCTCTAACCTTGTCCTGCTTTGTTGCTGCATCCCATGCAGAGCAGAAATGTTCTGAAAGTATATAGAATACACTAAAACATATGGAAAAAGCATGTATCATGCAAATATAGAGAAACAGAAGCAGAGTAATCACATGGGAAAACCCGGCAATTCGGAAGAAGTAGCAAGTGATGCCATATGATAATTTGCCAGGGAATGTGTATCTGGAAGGTATAGAGGTGCTTGGTCTGTAGAAGGATACTGTTTTCAGTTAGTAAGATTTGGTCTCCATGTTCATTGAACAGCTCAAGTCCATTCAAACCAATGTAGTACGGATCACCCCAACTTGTCAGAAGCTGAAACTGGAAAATAACTAAAAAGCAAAAAGCTATTAAGGAAAATTTTGATACTGATACTTTGTCCTAACAGAATATTGAATTCACAACTTCAAAAATTATTGTGCAGCCCACATCTCGATGTCAGACAGTCTTATTTGCAGTTTAGGAGTGAAAAAAAAAAAAATATCTGTTTTTCACTTCTGACTTCGCTATGTCTTAAACCTCTCTGAATCAACTATTTTCTTTTAAAACAAGAAGTCTGCCTTTTCTATCACTGATAATACACACAGAAATGAACATTTGTAGGTGGCACAACTAGGCAAAAGCCTGTCTATATATGTTTACATATATACTTGTTCACATATATACATATATATGTTCGTATATGTTCTTCCATCACACGAAGAACCACCGATTTTCTTTAGTGTGTGTCTTACCTTCTTGTACAGTGCTCCTATTTGGAGCTTTTACTGCCTTTCTGTGTTTCCTGAGTATGGCTTTGCCTGGGTTTGAATTATACAGGTGATAATCAGCCAGCAAATATGCCCCTAAACAGAAGGGCGGAAAAGGTCAGGATGGAGTCTGTGCTGTCCATTTCCCTAATGGTGCACTTATTTGCATCTCTTTGCTCTACCCAGACACTTATTTTCAGGAAACCGTCAGGAACTAAGTATTCATGAGACCTCATCAGTAAGTATTATCACAAAAGGTGTGCTTATCTAGGAAAACTTAAGCTTAAAAAGCCACAAACATTAATAAAAATAGCAAAAATATTACAAAGTTCTTGTCAACCTTAATAATGATATAAAATGAGACAACATTCATAGATAGACAAAAATACAAAGACTATTTCTAGCTTTGATAGGCTGGCTGGATACTGTGCCAATGGACCTCTAGCTCCAGCTTGGATGGATTATAAAAAGCAGGAGAAAAAGCTACCAGAGGATCTGAAAACAGGTCACATTTTCGTATCTTATGTTTCATTTATTGATTCTTAATTCCTACTTAATGGAAGCCTTTCCCATATTCTTGGTACCTTGTTAATTTCTTAAAGCATCAGAAACTGTTGAATTCAAAAAGCCACAGTATATAACTCTAAAATATTCTGAATGACAAGTAAGAAAATGACAGAGAAGGATACAACCACATGGCATTAACGGTGCTTCATAGTCCATACTAGCTTGTTCCATTCTCTTTGAACCAGTCCTGCCAAAAAAAATCAAGACAAAATAGTTTTCACTGGCTCATTCAGAAAAGAAGAGAACAAATCCAAAGATCTAAGACTCCACAAACACCACCTCCCGAGCCCCCAGCTTACGATTATGGACTAGATGGACCTCTGATCTCAATAAAATCTGGTTAACAGCATATCGTTAAAATCCAATGAAACATTTTGCTCTAAGTGCTTCCTATTTTCATCCAGGTGCCTCATACAATTGGTTTCAACAGAGAATATGAAAGAATACTAAACAGTTAAGAGAAATTGTGTGGTTCAGACAGCAAAAACATCCTACTTTACCTCCTTTTTACTTTGTTAATCAGCTGTGGCTGCAGGTAGTCAAGAAAGAGAATTTCTTGGGCAAAATCAAAATGGCAGTTGCCTGGTCCCTTGCGGATAAGAAAGCCCTCTGGTGGGGAGATGCTGTGACCATCCAGTAACACATGGGCTACCTTTGCCTTGTTTAAAATAACAAAACGTAAAATTATATGACATCACATCACTTTATATTACATAAAATAAATAGATCCAAAACAATTGCATTCACTTCAGAGACTGAAATATTTTCAATGATCTTGTTATATTTATTTAATTCCTCTATAGTATGACCTCCTTTGGCAAAAGAAAGCTTAAATCAGCAGGTATCAATTGCAACCCATAATGTGCAATTCAGAGCATCACAGCTGACATAGGTGGGGACAGGAGAGGTGACAATTTCTGGGGAAAAAAGAAAAAAAATATTTTAGAGATCCTCCTGCTTCTCACTAGGTCTCAGCAAACTGAAGCTTCCTTTCTTCACTGAAAGGTTTGCCAAGCACTGGAACAGGCTGCTCATGAAAGTGGCTGAGTCACCATCCCTGGAGGTGTTTAAAATGTGGCACCTAGGGACAGGGTTTAGTAGTGAACTTGGCAGTGCTGGGCTAACGGTTGGACTCGATGGTCTTAAAGGTCTGTTCCAACCCTAACAACTCTCTGATTCCCAAGCCTGCAGCAACACATATCAACAGAACGGAGAGACTCAGCTTTCAAGGCAGCATCTGTCACAAAGGTGATTTAAGGAGAGAGCCAGCGTCATCATGCACCTGAAGGCGCTGCCAGATCAGGCCAGATTGCTCAGCACTGGCTGAAGCTAGCCTTTGAGAAATCACATCACCTGCTGCTCTCTTGGGGGCAGACTCTTTTGCGCCTCTGTTGCATTTACAGAAAGCCTGTATTTCACCTGTTCTGTTTATCTTTGTGGCACTTGGACTTTTCCAGGATCATGCAAACTCATCTACCAAGCAGTGCTGTATGTAACCTCAGGGCATATGAATAAATAAGAGGTGCCCATACTGGGCAGAAAGAATTGAGCCTTGTCCACCTCACAGATGCATATGTCTTTGAACATGCAGTCTCATACAGTCTCTGAAGAGTACACTAAATAATTCAGGCACACTTATTCAGATGATGCAGCAGTCCTGGGCCCTTCACCCTCCCCCATTAGCACCATCTGGTGTTGTGTGCATGATCCCAGTCACATAACAATTCCATCGTGCAGCAACAATTATCACTGCATCTCACCCTGAAATATATTAAATATAACTTAATGTTAATCACGAGCAGCATTTATTGCACTGAGTCTTTCGGTAACTGGTTAAGGAAGGAATAATACCTGTAAAATATAACAAGATGGCCTTATAACTGGCACTATGATTAAAGCCTGCTGATTAATGGACTGAACCAAAATAGATGCATTTATTTAACAAAAGACTTAATTTAGTCTAAAGATAATGTGAGTCAGTTTTCTAATCTCTGGATTTTATACTGACTGATGTATATATGACAATTTGAGGTTAACTTAGTTTTGTATGCAAATATTTCATTTTTATCATTAGGATTTCTATTAAAAATATATATAAAATATTTATAGTTAAAATTCCCACTTCAGGTGTCTATCTGAGAAGAACTTAAAAACATTCTGCAAAGTTTTCTGCAAAACCCATATATTATTAGTGACCTGATACTCATAACAGTTTTTTATTTTTTCCATTTGTAAACCATTTTTCATTCAATTACAATTTCAGTAAGTTACACAGTCTCCAGTCACAATGCAATATCCCAAAAGCAAATAATTTTCAGGAATTTTTTTTTTACACAAACATTTCTTGATTTGAAAGCCTCGGGTATTGTACTAGCCTACAGGAGGTGCTCAGTTCATTTCCAAATAGCATGGAGATTAATTAGGAGGGAGTGTTTGTATGAGTATCAAGTATGGAAAAACAACTATTTCTGGTTTTGTCTTTAATACACTTGGGAGAAAAGAAATAAAATATCCTTTAAATATCAGAAACTCTTCTGTGTGCTACTTTCCAGCTGAATCAGTCTGCCAGGCTAAGGAGAGGCAGTGAAAAATCCACTGAAATACCTTTAGTTTAGGAAACACGTATTGAATGGGAAGGCTGGGGACTTAGAGATGAAATCTTACCTATTACACCACAGCTGCTTATATTTATGTGCCCTTTACGGCCCTCATTTCTAAGTAATTTTCATCATCTAAGAAGGCACTCAACCGTCACACACAGCATTTTACAAATCGCATAACAAAGCTTTCACAAGGTAATTTTTCATAGAGCTGGAAATAGCACACAAGCCTTCATTTTGACAGTTCACTGCCATTACCCTCTCATACTAAAGCTGTGAATAGAACCCACCAGTCTACAATTGCCTAACAAATCATTATATCTCATACCCGGGGACTGTTTCTTAGAAGGAACAGCAATACTTCAAGAGACAGACGTCATGATGCCCGAGGTTTACAGTCTAAAGCCTCTTTAGTGTGGCCCAGCAGATACCTTGCATCTTCCACTTTTCAAATAATTTATTTCATCCTTTTACAGGACTGCAGGAATGAACACTTCATTTAAATTGTACCCACTAACTAGTACGGGACTTACAGGTGTGCCACCTCCATGCATACTTCATCAGACTCACATCTTTTTTCTACCTAGCAAAGTAAACTGTGAAAATATACCTTTCTTTCCTTCTTTCTTGAAAGACCAAAGACCAAATTCCATGATCGATTTTAGGGATTTGGCTATTTGTTTCCCTCCTTTAATAACTGAGACATACATACAGGGAATTGATTTGGTACAAAAATTCATGTTCAAACTTTTCTCCCCTGCTCTGTCTTAGAGAAGCTCGGGCTTACAACGGTAGTGAAAAACATTCCACATCACCACTTAAAGACCATTCTTCATATTGCATTTTGCATACAGAATCACAGTAAGATTTAGGTTGCAAGGGACTTCTGCATGTCTCCAGTCACAATTCCTGCTCAGAGAAGCCTGCAAAGCTAAATCTGGCTGCTCTGGGACTTCTCAAATTTAGTTTTGAAAGTCTCCCATCACTGCACACTGTCCCAGCGCTGCACCACTCTCATACGGAAGAGTCCTTTCCTTATGCCAAATTGTATCAATTAAGTAACAGATTTTCGTAAAAACCCTTACTTGTTATACAGCGGGTGTGTTTTGAGGGTAAGCTCAAAATGCTCCTGAACCCTCCCACGTGTCAAAGGTGTTGGGTTAATGCTATGTATTACAAAATCAGGTGCCATATGTTAAAATCGCCAGATCAATTGCAGCTTAAGTGAAAGATCTTATGCTCTGGCCTTCTGAGAGTCTTTGGCCAGTCTTTGGCACTCAACAACACTCCATGCTGATACTAAAAGATGCCAGGGCTCTGTTGTGGAGCTGGAACACCTCTCCACACATTTATGTAGTGTTCATATTAAAGCAATTCCTGGAAGGTCAATTTACACAAAGAAGCGGTTCTGCAATTTTTGCCACTATCCTGCCCAATCCTGTGAAGGATCCATGCCTCCAACTTCAATTCTAGAATTTTTTCCAGAACTTTCTTGATCCTTTTTGTCCTGTCTCTCTGTAGTTTAATACACACCAACAGTTTTCTTCTTATCTGTTGACTGAGTTTGGACATCAAGAATGCAACAGTTATCTGTCAAGGGGAAGTTCTGGGAACAAATGGATTCATAAACCTTCTGTGCTGTGAACATCAACCATTTCTTCATTATCGTTACAAGCGCATGTATAGCTTCTGAGGAAAACAGGGGAAGGAGGGACAGCCAACTCAGAGTGCCAGCAAGACAGAACATGATCTCCACAGGTGTCAATTGCCAGTCAATTCCAAGAATTCAATACAAAAAGAGATATAAACCAAGCAATTTGGAAAAAGAAGAGAGGAGGTAAGCTACACAATTTTAGCTAAACTACTTCAGCCAAATTTTTTGAAGACATATACTTTCCCTAATAAATGTTAGGGTTCTAGAGACTCTTCTTGCTTGTTAGAAAAGGTAGTACTGACTGATTGGCCTTCTGTAACTTACCTAAACAGAATTTCTGTTGGAGAAGTGTCCTGTTCTATCATTCCCTTTGTTCCAGGAAATAAGAGATCACATGGTAGGCCTAAGTACTAGATACTGAGAGGATACCACTTCAGAATCATATATCTTGAAAATAATATGTGCTACTGTATGTGTCTCTTAGAAAAATCACCTGTGAAGATTTCTTTAAACTATCTCTGGCTTTTTTACAATATTTGCTGTTTGTGGAGACAGAAATGCATTATACCTGCCACAAAATTCAGACTCAGACAATCTAGAAAGATTTATGGTGTTCCATTAAGGCAGCTATATTCATTCATCACAGTACCAATTTTCCAATGCACTGCTGTATATTTTTGCTGGCAGTGCTCCTTTTCTTTTACTTACCCCTCTATACGTATCCTCCGGAGATTTATTATAGTTCCAAAAGCGAAGCCCTGCAATACTTTCCATTTTATCAAAATGGATTGTGAGCAGATGATCTTCTCCAAAAGAGAAGGGAATGAGCCACATATGGTCATCCTCTACTGTGATATTAGTCCCATCTATTAACCTACAAAGAGAAAAATCCATTAGCTGCAAAAAAGGAAAAGCTTGCTCTTCTTATGAAAATCAGGTACTTTACAAGGTATTATTTTTTTTCTAGATGGCACTTCCAGCTTCCAGGGCTTATTGTGCTCATGTGTATGCAATTAAAAAGCACAGTAAACATCAAAAATAACATCCAAATGTTGAATTAAAGACAGTGGATGAAAAAAAAAATAGTATTTCCTTTAGTTGAGTCCATTTGAGGAAAAACAGAAAAATCCTTAGGTTTTCCCTAAGGCAGAAGAAAGCTCAACTACCTTCGTACCAAAATGGCCAAAGGCAAAACTTTAAGGGCCAGACACAATATGACTTATTAATATAATTCCATGCCTAAACTAGTATATCTGGCACTCTGCAATGTGTTACTATGCCAATGCAACTATACTGAATCCGACAAGGAGCTGGATGCAGCTGGACAACCTAATGAAGAAGCACAGTTTGTTCACAGCCTTCTTCAAGCACAGTTAGACACATTCCCGCTTTTTGAAAAAAGCTTTCTACCAGCATGACAACGGCTTTTCACAAGAGCACAGATTCAGGCTGACTAGATAAAGTTAATTGCATTGTTTTCTCATTTTGGAATCCTGACTTCATATTCTTCTACCACAAACTACAGCATACAAAGATGGAATAAAGGAGAATATCAACTAATTGTCTGCTGTAATTACTTTGGTACACTGCCCTATGTACTTGCTATTTATTTAAAAGTTTAATGGAAGAATAAGTGCAAGACTTGGCAGTTTCTTAAACAAAAAGATTTGAATAATGACTCTTTCACAGAGGAAATGATTAGGGAGCCCATGAGAGAAGATATAATCCTTGACTTGGTCCTGAGTAGTATAGTAGTACACAGGACCTATCCCAAATGCTACAGGTGAAGAACACTGTAGTGCACTCAAATTAAACATGCTTGCAGAAATATCAAAAGCCAAGAATGCTCCTATTTCTTGTGCCCAAAAAGGTTCTTAAACAAAAATGATGATGTAAAAAAACAAACAAAAAAAAAAGGCAACAAAATAAAATCAAATCGTTACACATAGCAGAAAGAATATTAAGGAATATCATACTGGAAGCACAAAATGTATCCCACTTACTAAGAAAGACATTAGAAAGAGAGAGGACTTGAAAAATCAAAGCCAGCCTGGCTCAGTGGCAGGATAAAGAAAGTTATTACAAGCCATCTTTCAACAAAATTTATGATCAAAAACCCTTAAATTGACAGGATCATAAACTCTGGAAGGCTAAAAATGCATACGCACAGGCCAAGAAAAAAAAAAAAAAAGAGCATGAAGGCTAGCAAGCAAAAGGTACCATAAATAAAATTCCTCAAATACACCAGGAGCAGAAAGCCTGCCAGCAACGCTGTAGGACAACAGACAACTAGGCTGTAAAAGGAGCATTCAGAGAAGATAAGACACCAACAGAAAAGCTAAGTGAATTCTTTGCATCTGGGTCCATCATGGTGGAGTATGGAGACACTCCATCACCAGAATCTCTTCATCACAGAGGATCTCATGGGAAGATTTCTTAGGTCTTGATGCCTACAGAAGAGATTTTCATACAAATAGGCAGAAGAACCAAGGAATTATATACAAGTAAGCTTGACATCTGTATTAGTCAGATTAGCAGAAATTACAAGGAAGAGTTAGTGTACATGTAGATAAATACAATATTCTAAGGAAGACTCCACAAAGACTTTGAAAAGAGAAGTCCTAATTCATAAACCTATTCACAGACCATAAACATGTCGGAGGACAGGATTATAACTGAAAATATCCTCTAAAATGGAGACATGACTTGGAAATAACAGGATGCAGCTTCAGTAATGACCAAATGCCAAGTCCTCTCCAAGCCTATGATTTCTATACTGCTATCACTTGGGAAGTACAAGTTAATTTGAGGAAGTATACTTGTCAATGAATAAGACTTCATTGGAACTACAAAAAAAAGCTGTAAAATTGCCAAAAGAATGGCACCTATTTGTGCAATTCCCTAATACATCCTCACCCCTTGCTAACTTGATAACTTTCAATTATCCAGAAATCCTGCATAAATATCACTCCATATGCACAGACAGATGCTACAGAACACCCACATTTCTGCCTGGAAAGTCCTTAGCAGAGATACCAACCAGGCACATTACCAGTTCCTAACTCAAACACCATCTTTTGGAAACATTTCATTCATGTTTCTGTAACAAGCTGTTCCTTGGTAGCTTGTGAAATCCAAGAATGAGCAGTGCTGCTATGAAAATCATGTTTGCATTAACATGTGTTAACATAACAAAAGTTTATATAATTCTGTCACTTTTTAAAGTCTGATGTAAAATGCATCTAAAATTGATAAACTCCAAAGCTGTTGGTGGTAACAACAGGCACAAAGGAAAAAAAAAAAAAAAACCAACAAAACAGAGCCCTGCAGAAAACGCTTGGACAATCCAACTCTTTCACTACTTACTTTTCTAGTGTTCTGGAATCTCCTGTATACTCTGGAAGATCATTTAAGTCTTGGGGTGAAGCAGAAATCTGTTCTGTACTTATTTTTAATGCGTGACCATTCTTTCCTATCACTTCAAGTCCTGTCAGCCCAAGGTAATGAGAGTCTCCCCATGTCATGGTAAAATTCAGTTGCAGACCTATGTAAAAGAATATACATATAATATATCTATATACATACTTATTAGTTTGAAGTAAGGAGCCATTATTAGCATGCATGCAAGCCCCAATGATTAGCAGCATGTGTATTTGGCTTAGATTAAGTAACTTTATATGCTGTATTTGGGTACTTCCTGGTCCACATGCCTACCTCCCTGTGATAGCATGGTACCTCCTGTAAATCTGTGTTAGACCCCTTCGGTGGGCTACCAACATCTTCACTTGTAACTGTACAACTCCTGATCAAGCGCGTTATCAAGTGTCTCGTTACTGAGATTGTAGACTGACAGTAATTCAACAACACATTTAAGCATTTACATGACAGATTTTGTGATTATGCAGACACAGGGAAGACCCATTAATGTGAAGTCTACCTATCATCTTTTGCCAGCTAAATGACTATATAGATTCATATAAATCCAGTCTCTCATAAATCCATAAACGGTTAGAGAACACTAACTCATAGTAAAACCAAAAGACAAATGTGGTTTTCTAATGTGCTTAAGTTACTATCTCCATGTCAGAACTGGGCACATGGAAGTATTTTCATGGCACAGCATTAGTGAAAAGCAGCAACATCGATTAGAAAATAAATAGGAAAGAAAAATTAGGCAGACAAAAGATTGCACATGTACCTTCAGATCCACCCATTTTATGCCTTACTGAAGACATATAAATAGCATACACAGATATGACAAGTAAAATTCCAATCTGATGAGGTTCCATAAAAATCCATCAGTGTAAATTAAAAATTTCTTTCACTTCACACATTACACAGAAGCCCAGAAATAATCAGGTTGTCTAACTGTCTAAAGAAGCACCAGGAGCTATGGTGCCCTGTAAAACAAACAAGCATTAAGCCATCCAGCCCAATTACCTCTAAAAAGCCATAGCAATTTACACGAGACTAAGTCTTGATATACACATAAATTCACTTGGGTATAAGATCTCATTAGCATTTGCAAGGACACTAAGAAATAAATAGTTCTGTTAGCTGACAAGTTTGGAGCTATGGCTACACTGATAACAGATGCTCTTCCCAAGGCCATTGCTAAGACTAAACTTGCTTAGTGTACAAGCACGCAAGAGTTCTCAGGCAAAACCAGAGTATATTTTCAAACAAACGAGAAAAGACAGGGCAAAGCATCTATATGCATGAGGTTTAGTATTCACATCATCATACCAATGCCTTCATAGAATCTCAGAATGATGCACGGTGGAAGGGACCTCTGGAAGTCTTTAGTCTGACTCCAAGCTCAGAGCACGTCCATTAGATCAGGTCTCTCAGAAGCTTATCCAATGCTTGAAGTTTGAATGTCTCCAAGGCTGGCAGATTTCAAAACCTATCTCAACCCCTGTTCCAGTGTTTGATTGCCCTCAGGGTGAAAAAGATTTCCTAATATCCAGTTGTAAATTCTTGTCTTCTACCTTGTTGTTTCTGCTGCCTCTCAGCCCTATGTCCATGCCTGAGAGCAACAGCCTGGATCTGTCCTTTCTACGCCCTCCTGATAGCTATAGGCAGCAAGAAGATCTCCCCTTCATCTTCTCTTTTCCAGGGCGAACAAACCAACCCAGCCCTCTCATGCTTTTCTCACGTCAGGTACTCCAGATGCCTGACCATCTTGATCACCCTTCTCCACTGGATTCACAACAGTACATCAATTTTCTTCTTGTCCTAGGGAGACCCACACTTCATGCAGTACTCCAAGTATTCATGCAGTACTCCAAAGGCTCACAAGCGTTGAACACAGGGAAACAATCCTTTTCCTTGCCCTGCTGGCTGCACTCTTACTTTTTACATCCCAGGAAGGAGCTGGCTGCCTTTACTGCAAGGCCGCACCACTGACTCTTATTCAATTTGTGGTCTTACGAGGACTTCGGGCCCTTCAGGGCTTTCTCAGCTAGCTGGCCCCCAGACTGTCCTGTAGCACGGGCTATTACATCCCACATGCAGGGCTTTGCATTTGTCCTGAACTTCATGAGGTTACATTAGTTAACATCAGGAGGTCACCATTTCTCCAGCCTGTTGAAGTCTCTCTGAAGAACAGCCTTGCCCTCCAGCATATCTCCCTCTGTTTGGTATCACCCACAACCTTGCTGAGACTGCATTTTATTCCATTATTTATTCCACCATTCAAGTTCTTTTAAAAAAAGACATCAATCAGTGTAGACTATAGTAGTACTGATACTTGAGGGGACACCTCTAGTAACTAGTCATTAGCCGGACTTTGTATTAGTGATCATCACACTTTGAGGCATGATTTCTCCTTGACATCATGACTGACAGCAGGATGAAAGAGATGAAAACTACCTACAACAGGTCAAGGACACAAATTCTCAGTGCCTCCATGCACAATTTATTACCAGCAGTCACAGCCGAAAAAGGCAGTACTGATCCTAAGTTTGGCAAAATTCCCTGTAATTTCTCAAAACAAGAAGAGCAAGAGGACTCTTACTCCAGGTCTGAGGGACACCCCACAGAACAAGGAGAACAAGGAACAATATACACAGGCAGGATAGGGTACACAGAAACCATTGGCAAAAATAAGCTTGTAGCTTTTAGTTGGTTTTTCACTTTTGTGCATAGTCATTTAGAAAGACAGTCCCTTGTAGCAATTAATGGCAAATTTTTCCTGTGTAAGAGACTAAATTGGAGTTTCTTTTGCAAGAAGAACATGGAAAGCCTCCCTTAAATACAGTTAGGTTTCTCT